CCCGAATTCACTAGAAAGTCAAAGAAACTTTCCCTCCTCACCTGCAGCATTCCTCGGGAATCCTTTTCCCTCGAGTTCCGTATAAAGAAGGGCCCTGTTTCGCCCGCATACTCCGTGAACACACGGACAGAAAGAGCTCGGAAGAGAAGAAAATTAAAAGAATAAACTATTTGGTCGTGCATAAAAGGGTCTGCGAATAAAGAAAGCGTGCTGTTATGCTATTAGGAGTTGATGCTGGTGAATGGGGACCGGTTTTTCGGAAGCGTGATGTTCCGAGAGGCTTTTTCGGAAGTTTGTTCCTTCCGTTGTTAACGCCTCTATATGCGTGATGTTATGTGTCGAAGCTGCTGCCTTTTCCTCTCCATTCCATTGTGTCGCTTCACGAACTTCGTGGTCCTCTTCAACCAGTTTGAAGAAAAAAAAATGAAAAAATGAGAGAACACTGCTGAGGGTCCAGCGGAAAATTCCTTCGAATTCTGACCCGATCTCAATTTATATTGTGAGATGAATACACGCGAACGAAATGAATATCTTACATGGACTTTTTGATGGTGATTCAAGTAAATTCAAGCGAGTTTTTGTTTGAAAAGATGCGAGAAATTTTCAAATGTCGGAGTTTCGCAGATTCAAAGGATTTTGAAAATTTTCTAATTCAAACAACAGTAGTACAGTATTACCGTTCTACGGTGAAATTTGAAACTCTTTCCATGCCCAATGCGTCAATTTTTGTTTGGAAAAATATTCAACATCTATCTCGCGTAATTTATTATAATTTTGGGCTGCGAAATTCTGAAAATACCCTATAAAGGATATAAATACTGTACTATTCGCAATTTTAAGGCTTTGAACCAGCACTTGTGTGACTGCAAGTCGAGCCCTTTTTTCGTTTAAGGGATTTTTTCTAATATTGAGGGGACGAATTGGCTCAACATTTTTAAAACGTTGTGGATGGCATGAATGAACTCAAAATTTCACAGCATGCCTCTTGTTTTTGTTTCCATCTGGACATTGTGAATGTCAGCATACCATGAACTAATGGGCTGTGAAATTTTTATTGACCCGAAAAATCCATAGGGTAGTTGTCTCATGAGGCTACTAAAATTTGAAAATGCATAAATTTTCAAATTAAGGTTCTCAGATACAGCCTCTTTACAAGCCTTGGTTCAAAACCTCTGTCAGTATTTTTTAATTAGATTTCTTTCGGTATTCAATTGCATCTGGGTCCTCTCAAAAGTTTCCAGAATTCCGAAGTTCCTTAGAAGATTGTGTTGATCAGAAGCTATATTTGCATACATGCAAATACAAATAGAATATCACAATAAAGTCATTGGGCCAGGAAGAAATTGGTCACACAAACAAAATCTGCAGCAAGTTTAATCTTGTCGCGAGGAATCCTAGTCTACAAGGCAAATTATTTTCTTATAGTTTCCGGCCGTGATCGGGAAGTGGGAACTAAGAAAATAATTCGGCTCAGACTAGAATTAGTTGCGACAAGATTATACCCGCGAGAGTTGAAACTCAGTTCAAGTCGAAAATTGATTTTTACCAGCCAATTTTTGCGAAGAAAGAAAACAGTTCACATGACGGGCCCGCGAGCCGCCACCATCAGGGGTACTTCTACAACCGGTTGAAACGCTCTGTGGTGGAAAACCCATTTCAGCAATGCCACGAATGCTTTGGAAAAATAAAATCAAACTTTATCAATACCCAACAATATTTAAAAAAAAGAAAGAAAGAACGAAAGAAAATGTCAGGAGATGCGATGCAGTAACCGCGACAAAGAACCCTGGTGACTCGCGGTCGCGTTTTCCTCTCTCCTTGACGCATTTATCCTGGGTGCGTCTCGGGCATTTCATTCTGTTGCGGACGGGGATTTCGACTCGCACCCATCATCGGCATGGGCCGTTTCTCTTTGGGACGCGTGCGGAAGTCATCCTGACTGATGGCTTCTTTGCGCTGTTCTATTCGTATAAGGTATCCTGCTTCTGAGGAGAACGCTTGCCTGCAAAAAAAAGGAGAAAATAAAAAGATTTCTCATCTCTATAATCGTTAAAATTTCCGAAAGTTTACATGCGCATGGTAAGATTATGTGTTTTGATTTCTGTGCGATAATTTTTACTGCTCTTCTTTATTCGTCAGCTATCCTGCTGCTGAAATGGACTCGTGCCGAATAAAAGAATGAAAAAGTCATATACTGTACTCTTGAACATTTTTTTTCAAATTTCCTTGCATGATTAAATGAGGTTTTTGGATTTTCTTGCCACACGTTTCACTGGTTTTCTATTTGCTGTGGATCCTGTTCTGAAAAAGATCGCTTAATATTAAAAAAGAAGGGCAAGTTTTTCGATCTTCAAAAATGTTCTGTTTCCCAATCATGCTTTTTAAGTTCCCTGCAACACAATTTTTTTCTCACTTCTACACTCGCCTGATATCCTTCTCAAGAGAATGCCTGTCGTAAAAATAGTAAAATGCGAATATTCCGGACTCAGCAAATTTTATCGATTGGAATTTCTCTGCTCAAGCAAATTATACTTCTGATTCATCTTCAACAAGTTCCACTGCTAATCTATTTTCCGGATATCTTGCTCTCGAAGAGAAGGCTTATCGGAAAACAAACTTTTAAAATCTTCAAACTCTGAGAAAGTTTCCCTGAATGATAATGCTGATTTTGATTTCCCGGCAAAAAGTTTCATTGCTCTTCTACTCGCCAGGATTCCTGCTCCTAAAAAGAACGCTGAAAAAAAGTTCTCTTGCCTCGAAAATGTCTGCGAGTATCCATTCTTGAAACTCTATTCGCCAGGAATAATATTCTTGTAGCAAACGCTAACTAAAACTAGATATAAAAATAAATACTCTTCGAAATGTAAGAAAAATTTCCCTGCTTGAAAAAAAAAATCTGAGTTTGTTCGTCCTTCCGCGCGTCGAGGAGTCATTAAAACCAGGATTCGGGGTTTAGTCCGAAAGTAATTTCGTTTTATCTAGTGGACAGTAAATCTTATGGACCATGGAAATTAAATAATAATGATGAGGAATCTCAACAATTTTCGACCCAAAAAACTCTCTCTATCACTGAATTCCTGACCTTCCAGTTTCGAAACGTCTTCGATCTTTTCAGTCGTATAAGCCGAATTTCCTGTTTACTTGGGCAATGAACAAAAAACTGCATTTCTTATAAACTATGAATCATGTGATGAAATACAGTAGTCTGAATCCTGTATCACGGTTGTATTTCAGCATTTTGAAATTAAATGAATTGTGAATACAGTTCTGACACATCGAAGGACAAGGTGGAAAGAAATAAAACAATAAGAGAAGAACGAGGTCTGTCGACTCAAATAGATTTTAGTTTAACTTCCAGTAAAATGCAAATCGTTTTTTCAGTCTCATGTTTCTCTTGTTTTATAGCTATAAATGCTGATGGACGTACCTTTGAATTTGACCTTTTACGGAGCATTGTTGCAAAGCGATCGAAATTATAGCCACAAGGAAAGTTACCTTCCAAACATGTTCATTTCACTAATTCGTGGGCTGTATATAATTTCTACTAAATATTTATTGAAATTAGGGCATTATTGAAGTGACATCTTCAAAAGATCATCCATTATAACAAATTGCTGACCTTGAAATATATGCGCGATTGCATGGCTTTGTTTGCGAAAGCTGGGTTAAAATAACAATTTTTGAGTAAAATTGACGCTGCCAAAGTCTTTTAAAATTTATATGAACACAGATTTATTTCAAGTTTTTTTTTAGATATATCTCCCAACAGTCAATGTAATGGGACTCTTGATAAAAACCAAGGTAAACTTCATTTCAAAACCAGGTACAGTATTTTGCTGACAAAACTTTTTAAACACCAAACGGAAACTCGTCCTAGCTATAGGTAGAAAGCAATTTTTTCGTGAAATTTTTTGAAAAATCATAAGCCAGGCTTTTTTTAAAGCTTGCAAATAAATTGCTTCCCAGACGGCAGAAGTCCCAAGAAAAGCAAAGAATAGTTGCTGCTGTGCTTGTTGGCGTTTTCCTGGCACGCAGAAGTCGGAAAGATTGCCGGAAAAAGTGAGACGGATGATGCGTGCCGCCGGATGTCCGGCTGCCCGACGAAAAACAATCGGCTCCTGTCATCGACTGACATAACCATTATTATCTATAGACATTTCCGCGGCTTAAACGAGACGTTATTTGCAGGAACGTAGGTCCAAACTGTTCTAGATATGCTTCATCCGGCGATGAAAGGAAAAAATTGAAAAAAAAACAAGGAAGGCAGGGCATGAGGAAAACGTGGCTCAGTCTTCTGACGTAATTTCGTTTCAAGTTGCAATTGCCTGTTGATAACCGCGTGTTGCGGATGCCGTTGTCACTCGCACAGCAGAGCGAAAGCGTTTTCTTCTGGCTTTCGTGATACGTGGCGCCTCGGGGAAATCGTTCCATCATTGATGAATATTTCAAATATTTCATGTTGTATTGTATTTTCTTTTTTTTTATCAATTTGTGCTTTCTTGCTCTGAAGTGATTAAAATGTCATTGAGTGGATTTGGGTTGGGTGGGAAGGGGGTTTGGTTGTGGGAATCTTGATTGGACCTCGTGAACGCTGAAAAGCGGCAAATAAAGTGTTCTGTTCATTCATTCATTCAAATATGGCCAATTTTGGTCATCTTCATTCAACTTGATTCTACACTACTGTATTTTCAGATCCCCAGATTTTTCTCCTTTTCACTCATCAAAAGTTTCTCTGCTCATTAAAATTCTTGAAGAGCTCTTGGAAATGATAATCTTTTTTCCCCAGATGTTTCTGCTGTTGCTTTCTAAAAATGTTTCTGCTCCTAAAATTCTTAGAGAGCTTTTTGAATTGATAATGTTTTTCCAAATTTTGATTCTTTTGATTTATTAAAATTTCTCTGCACCCTGAAGTTCTTCGAAAGCTTTTAAAAATGATAATTTTTTTTGTCAGATTTTCTTCTTTTGATTCACAGCACTATATTAAAATGTTTCTGCCCCCTGATATTCTCAGTGAGAGTGCGGAAATTATATTATTTTTCGAATTTCCATCAAGAACCATCAGGAAAGTGAAAGCATTCTTCTCACTGCCTTCTTTTTGTCTCCGCTGCAATAATAGTGGCAACAGCTACTAGTAAGACCAAAAGACCTTCACAAATCTGAACTTCCTATTGATCAAATTAGTCGAACGGGGAAAATTTTAGAGGATGAATGAACAACTTGCATGTGCTGATGCTGTTGCTGGATGAACCGGAAACAATATTTCAGTATTATTGACGAATAGGAGATCATCGTCGTGACAGCTAGGAGGCATAATCAAGTAACATGACTGGTGATGATGGTAATACTGCAGCTCGCCACAGCATATGACCAGATTCGCAAAAATCCTTGTGTGATTTTTAGCAGCAGCAGCAGGATTCCGATTCAACAATAAAAAAAAAAAATCACCAGGAGCGCTGCATGACTGATAAAGCAGCCGTCGTCTTCAGTCTCGTTCTTGTTGATGATGCCGCCACCGCCGCCACCGTCGCCGCCACCAGCTGCAGCAGCATTAGCACAGCATCATCAGAGACACCAGGAAAAAGCGGGGCGGGGGTTATTGATGAATAACAACGACGACGACGACAATTTAAAGTCGTCCTCTTCGTCCTCCGCGATTCCATCTTCGTCTCATAATCATTATCATTATCCGTCGTCGTTTCAAACTGTTCTCTGCCGCCTCGTGCGTCGTGGGTGTGCCAGTACGCTGCTTGACTCACCAGCAGTCCACGTGCCTTACGGCGTCCTCCGTCGCATCACAAACAACTTCCTACATTCGCGGAAACTGGGGAAAGGCGGCACTAGTTCCGTCTACCGAGGCGTCTTTGCCCCGCGTTATTCAAATCCTTCCTCGTCTTCTTTTGCCTTTGCGACGGATATTCATCAGCAGCAGGAACAGGCGGTTGCGACGGTGCAGGTGGCCGTCAAACGCCTCAACATGGACTATTACGTCAGCGGCAGAAGTAGCAGAAGAAGGAGAAGACGAAGAAATGGCACGAAGAATGACAATAAGAAGTCGTCTTATTCTGCCACTGCTGCGGTCATCAAACCCGTTTTGCTTGCGCGTCAATTTGTCTTGGAAGTTGAGCAGATTGCCAAGTGAGTGAAGGCTCTCAGTATTGGTTCCAGACGATGTATAAACGTTATATACGAAGTTGAAAACCTCCAAGTTGTACTTGTTCATTGTATAAATTCCCTCATGTGAACAGTGTCATATAAATTTCCTTGACCCAAGAAAATACTCCCCTTTCAAACCTCTAAAACTTGAATTTCCATATTGGCCCTTGAAATAATTTTCTCTAGACCCAGGGAAAACAGCAAGGAAATTAAAATTTTGATGCTTTTCAAAAATAAGTGAGTGACTAATCTAGAAAAATGTACCCTTGCCTCTAAATACACCATCCTGTCACTCAATTTATCCGGCAGTCCAAGACCCAGAGTATCAAAAATTATAATTTTTAATTCTTCATTTTTTTCCAGCTGAGAAAATGGCGTTTTTCCGCAGCAGCCTCCCTAACCCAAAAAATTTTCCCACTCAAACCTCTAAAACTTTAATTTCTAGAGGCTCTCAAAATAATTTTCCTTAGACCCAGGAAGGAGAAAATTAGTAACTTTTGATGCTTTTAAATAATAATTTTGTAAAAATGGGGCAAATTTACCCTTGCTTCCAAATTCAGCATCCTATCCCTTCATTTATCCGAAAGTCCAAGTCCTAGAATATCACAACTTCTACCTTCTTGCAATTCTTGTTTTTATGCAGCAAAAATGCTAGTTTCCCTTACTAAAAGATTTTCGAATCTGAATTTCTTGTGGGTCCCTCTGAGTTTGACTTGTAGAGGCTTGACTGCGTAGAAACATTTTTATAGAAGCTTAGGCAATACAGTTCAGAGTCAAACACAGTACTGTAAATTACTGTACAGTAGATTCACACATGGAAATGAAATATCATTCTGAAACCGCAGCATTGGGCCTGGTAAAAATCAACACGCTTGAAAACAGCATTTTTTATCATAATAAAGTGGAAAAATGAAATTTGATTTAATCAATCCGTTTATTTGTAATGTAGGCAAATGCATGATGCTGGCCAACAAATAATTCCATCAATGGTTTGCTGTATATATCTCTCAAGTACTATTAATCCTAATTATTTATATTAGGAGGTCCTCCCGGCAACAACAACTCATGTATTTAGAAGCTACATACCGTATTTACTCAAGTACCTCATGGCCTCGAATATGACGCTCGTCTTCGTTTTTTGGCATGCAATTTGTCCAAAATTAATCCACCACATTAAACGCGCACCCCAATTTTACATGGTTAAAAATTATATTTTTTTTTTCAAATTATGATGCTGAACAAAATAAAACCACGTATTAGTATAATGACGGAGTATTTTAGCCAAAAATAATTCCCTGTCTTTTCAGAAAAAATTATGTACATGGTACTAGAGTAAATATGCAAGATGTATCAACAGATAAAAATCACGTTTAAATCTGTCCATCAGAGCTTGCTTGTGCTTAAGTTGATTGATCCAATTGAGCAGTGAACGCAAGAATGAAATTAAATATTGATGACTTTGATAATTCACAAGCTAGAATCAAGCACCCGAACCTGCTGGAGATCCTCGGCTACTCCATCAACGGCCCATTCCCGTGCATCGTGTACCGGTTCCTGCCCGAGGGCTCAGTACTCGACCATCTCTTGTTATCGCCGGAAATGTCGACGTCAAGAAATGCCAGAGACAGCACGGGTCATCCCTGCCTATTCAACGATGCCCTGGCCCGTGTCCGAGTGGCCCTGGACACGGCAGCCGGCCTGGCCTTTCTCCACAGCCGTCACATGGTGCACCGCGACGTCAAGGCGGCCAACATCCTGCTGGACAAGCACTTGCGGGCCCAACTCGGAGACTACGGCTTTGCAGCATCAATCAGCTCCAGTGATGATAGTCGTGAGGATAATGATGATGCTGATCATGTTCAGCAAGTGGTTGGCACTCTTGCCTACATGGCCCCCGAGGCCTTCCTGGGCCACGTGTCACCCAAGCTGGACTCGTTCGCCTTTGGCGTCGTGCTCTTGGAGCTGCTCACGGGCATGCCGGCCTTTGACGACAACCTGGCGCATCCAGGTCAAGATTTGGTGAGTATTTGATGGATAAAATACGGTGACAGTGTAAACAGCCAGTGTCCCCCAACCCGTGGTCCGCAGACCTTTTTGCCAGTCTACGGGAAATTTTCAGCGTAATAAATTTGTCAGAAGTAGCAATGAAGTCTATTATCTTTCTCTGAAATTTCAGAAAGACAATGGCAGTTGAAATTATGTGATGATAAATAAAAGTTTGCTTTTCTCCTATAATCAACCTTCAGACAACTTTTCTCCTGCGTAGATAAATTATTTTAATTATTCATTCTGAGAAACCTTTCTTCTAGCCCACCTTTATAATTTTTTGATGACATTCAACAATAGGTGCTTCATTGGTGCTCAACTTTTTTTTTCAATAAGAAGGAACTATCTGAATATCTGCCATAAGGTCTTTCAAGCAAACATGTTTTTTAGCCTGCAAACATTCTATGAAACTTATCTGGTCGGCAGAACATTTTTTCGAAATTTGCCGGTCCGCAAAAATATTTCTCAGAAATTTGCCAGTCTGTGGCCCCAAAAAGTTTGAGGATCACTGGTGTAAACAATCACAATAAAAAGAAACTGATGTTATTTCATCAGCTAGCTTACTTGAAGAAAGAGACGGGACTGGAGCCAGAGAGGTTGACTCGAGTCATGTGCGATCCACGGGCAGGGCCGTGGCCAGTGGCCCTGGCCACGGGACTGGCCAACATTGCCACCTACTGTGTCAGGGCCAGCAAATCGGCCCGTCCAACCATGTCAACGGTGCACAACGTCTTGGCCCGACTCATACTACCATCATCTTCATCACCATCATTTATTGCATCGTCTACCACACCATTATAATACAATATTTTCCCATCAATGCTGTTGCTGCTCATGATGCATCACTGGACGTTGAGTGACTGATCGAATGACACGTATTGACCCCCCATTTACTATTATCAGCAGCATCAGCATTTTGTAGATGATGCATGTGATATGTTCTTGTTGTTTGTTACACATACGGTTTTCCTTGTTTTGCAGCTTGTTAGGACCAGAGAGCAAGTATGCAGCGGCAAACACTGCATAAGGAAACCAGCCTTTCTTTATTCATGTAACGTGTAAAGTACAGTATAAAATAATGTAAACTTGAACTTGTGCACTTTCATGTGCAGTACAGTATACGAACATAAATTTCAGAACTAATGCATATTCAGACGGATCTCGCCAAGTTGCACTGAAGTCAAATATCAGAGTCCATAAGTCAAAAACCTCCTTTTATTCAAATTTTCAGTTAATCCCACGCCAATGCAATTTGAGCCTCACTAACTTGTCCCCTTTTGTGTCAAACCTCCCCTTATAGTCGAAATTCAAAGGGTTTTCTGTTATTAAATGCGTGCTAACTTTTACAGAAAACCTGCTCCATACCCCCCCCCCCCCCAAGATACACATTATTTTTCTTTATGCCTTTCATTATCCCCTGCAGGCAAGACGTCTATAAACAATCAACGCGTCTAATAATTTGCCTAGAAAATAATTTCCAGCGATTAATTTACCAAAATGACGCTTAATCCTCTTAACTGGACTACTCTCCATTAAAAAGGTTTTTTAAAGTTATTTTAAATTTGACGTAGAGATGTTCAACTGCACATTTTATTTTCCATTGAACTCCCGCGAAAGTTCAGGCTGTAGTTCGCCTGGTTATCTGTTTAATTTAAATGATATCAAAAATTTTTTAAAAGAGAATTTCGACCGATTTCTTCAACAGTACAGGATTTGACAATAAATCGGTTTTCCAAATTTCCGGGGGAAAAATTCCTGTACAAATGACAGTTTAATCTCAATAACTCAGAAATCCCTTGGTCGAATACCTCCCTAGACCAATTTTTTCAAGACTTTGTCTGAATTCCCTTAGAAAAAAAAAACATTAAAGACCTTCCTAACTCAAAGGCTTACCCCTCGAACCTCCATGAGTCGATTTTCCTAGAGGTCATTTGTTTACAATTTTATTGACTCGGGAAAGTGAAGAGCAATTAAAATATAAAAAGTCGATGTGTTTTGAAAGGAAGTGAAAACCTAATTGGGCAAATCAACCCTTGCCTCCAATGTCAGTATCCTGTCAACTCATTCAAGAAGCAACTTAACATTTAAAATATCACATAATAAAATTTCCTGTAATTCCTCATTATCTTCCTGGACAAAAATGCTTGTTTCCCCAACTCCCAACCTCCCTGAGTAGAATTTTCTTCTGGTCCCTTGAAGGTTTTGACGTACTGTAAAGGGGAAGATCGATGAGACGCAACGAAAGTGGAACAATAAGATAACTTAATATATTTGAATACGTTACTACAGGGGAAAAGACTTGGCGTTGGTCAATTGGGTGCAACAGCGAAAGGGGGGGAAGCATATCAGAAACGAAGCAGTCATTATGCTCCGCGTGCGTTATTAATCTCGCCCAAGCAGCCCGCGAGGCGCGGTAATGAACCAAGCACGGATACCCGGCGGAAGCCCGCCTTAAATTGTGTCAGTGCCNGTCACCCAAGCTGGACTCGTTCGCCTTTGGCGTCGTGCTCTTGGAGCTGCTCACGGGCATGCCGGCCTTTGACGACAACCTGGCGCATCCAGGTCAAGATTTGGTGAGTATTTGATGGATAAAATACGGTGACAGTGTAAACAGCCAGTGTCCCCCAATTAACCCGTGGTCCGCAGACCTTTTTGCCAGTCTACGGGAAATTTTCAGCGTAATAAATTTTTCGAAAGTAGCAATGAAGTATTTCTCTGAAATTTCAGAAAGATAATGGCAGTTGAAATTATGTAATGATAAATAAAAGTTGGCTTTTCTCCTATAAGCACCCTTCAGACAACTTTTCACCTGCACGTATAAATTATTTTAATTATTCATTCTGAGAAACCTTTCTTCTAGCCCACCTTTATAATTTTTTGATGACATTCAACAATAGCTGCTTCATTGGTGCACAACTTTTTTTTTTTTTTCAATAAGAAGGAACTCTCTGAATATCTGCCATAAGGTCTTTCAAGCAAACATTCTATGAAACTTATCTGGTCCGCAGAACATTTTTTCGAAATTTGCCGGTCCGCAAAAAAAAAAAAGGTTTCACAGAAATTTGCTGGTCTGTGGCCCCAAAAAGGTTGAGGAACACTGGTGTAAACGATCACAATAACAAGAAACTGATGTTATTTCATCAGCTAGCTTACTTGAAGAAAGAGACGGGACTGGAGCCAGAGAGGTTGACTCGAGTCATGTGCGATCCACGGGCAGGGCCGTGGCCAGTGGCCCTGGCCACGGGACTGGCCAACATTGCCACCTACTGTGTCAGGGCCAGCAAGTCGGCCCGTCCAACCATGTCCACGGTGCACAACGTCTTGGCCCGACTCATGCTACCATCATCTTCATCACCATCATTTATTGCATCGTCTACCACACCATTATAATACAATATTTTCCCATCAATGCTGCTGCTGCTCATGATGCATCACTGGACGTTGAGTGACTGATCGAATGACACGTATTGACCCCCCATTTACTATTATCAGCAGCATCAGCATTTTGTAGATGATGCATGTGATATGTGCTTGTTGTTTGTTACACATACGGTTTTCCTTGTTTTGCAGCATGTTAGGATCAGAGAGCAAGTATGCAGCAGCAAACACTGCAAAAAGAAAACCAGCCTTTCTTTATTCATGTACCGTGTAAAGTACAGTATAAAATAATGTAAACTTGAACTTGTGCACTTTCATGTGCAGTACAGTATACGAACATAAATTTCAGAACTAATGCATATATTCAGACTGATCTCGCCAAGTTGCACTGAAGTCAAATATCAGAGTCCATAAGTCAAAAACCTCCTTATATTATAATTGTCAGTTAATCCCACGCCAATGCAATTTTAACCTCACTAACTTGTCCCCTTTTTTGTCAAAACTCCCCTTAGTCGAAATTCGAAGGCTTTATGTTATTAAATTCGTGCTAACTTTTAGAATACCTGTTCCATACCCCCAATATGCGCATTTTTTTTTTTTTGTATGCCTTTCATAATCCCCTGCAGGCAAGACGTCTATAAACAATCAACACGTCTAATAATTTGCCTATAAAATAATTTCCAGCGATTAGTTTACCAAAATGACGCTAAATCCTCTGACTCTACTACTCTCTATTAAATAAGTTTCTTTTAGTTATTTTAAATTTGACGTAGAGATGTTTAACTACATATTTTATTTTCTATTCAATTCCCGCGAAAGTTCAAGCTTTAGTTTGCCTGGTTATCTGTTCAATTTAAATTATAGCAAAAAATTTTGAAAAAAAAATGTCAACCGATTTCTTCAAAAGTAAAGGATTTGACAATGAATCGTTTTCCGAAATATCCGGGGAAAGAATTCCAGTAAAAATGACAGTTTAATCTGAATAACTTAGAAATCCCTTGGTCGAATACCTCCCTAGACCAATTTTTTCAAGACTTTGTCTGAATTCCCTTAGAAAAAAAAACATTAAAGACCTTCCTAACTCAAAGGCTTACCCCTCGAACCTCCATGAGTCGATTTTCCTAGAGGCCATTTGTTTACAATTTTATTGACTCGGGAAAGTGAAGAGCAATTAAAATATAAAAAGTCGATGTGTTTTGAAAGGAAGTGAAAACCTAATTGGGCAAATCAACCCTTGCCTCCAATGTCAGTATCCTGTCAACTCATTCAAGAAGCAACTTAACATTTAAAATATCACCAAATAAAATTTCCTGTAATTCCTCATTATCTTCCTGGACAAAAATGCTTGTTTCCCCAACTCCCAACCTCCCTGAGTAGAATTTTCTTCTGGTCCCTTGAAGGCTTTGACGTACTGTAAAGGGGAAGATCGATGAGACGCAACGAAAGTGGAACAATAAGATAACTTAATATATTTGAATACGTTACTACAGGGGAAAAGACTTGGCGTTGGTCAATTGGGTGCAACAGCGAAAGGGGGGGAAGCATATCAGAAACGAAGCAGTCATTATGCTCCGCGTGCGTTATTAATCTCGCCCAAGCAGCCCGCGAGGCGCGGTAATGAACCAAGCACGGATACCCGGCGGAAGCCCGCCTTAAATTGTGTCAGTGCCGCATCGCATGCATCAGGGAAGGAACCCCGTACTTCCGTATCCCTTCCTTCCTTACTTCCTCCCTCACGAACGGCACTCCTTGACTCAAGATCGTCGTCTATACCCGCCGTGCTTCAATTTTTTTTTAACATGCTGAAAAAAAGAAAGAAAGAAGCCCATTGACGAGGTTTACATGTACGATTACAGTATATATTTCTTCTCCTTCTGTCACGTGAATGACTCCTCTTCCGGGCTTGGGCTTGCTATTTTTAAACTCTGGTAAGTTCACACATGAGATTTGCGAAAATTCGCATCCACTTGGGGCTCACTTTATTCAATTTCTTACTTATAATTTTTTATGGGGCTAATTTTTCATCAGTCCATGGATGCGGAATTCGCGTTCACCTGGGACTCACTTAATTCAATTTGTTACTTCTTCCGGTTATGAATTGATAAAGTACTTTTGCTACTCTTGTATGGACTTTAGATGGAGTGAAATTTGGGGGAGCGCGAACGTAAGAATGGGGAATTCGCATCCACCTGGTATTAATCCATATCTTTTGGTGATATTCTGGTTATAAATTGAAGACATAGTGCTGTTCAAGGGTGGATGTTGATTGAATGTACTGTACTGTAAATGCAGAAAAAATTATTGTATACTGATTTCACAGCATAGTAGTATATGTCGTTCGATTTGAGCTCGTTATGTTGGAAAATTAAGTTTAATCTAGCCCTTTTGTTTTTGCGAGAAGATCAATTTTGGCGCTGATTGAATTTTTGTGACCAACAAGCGCTTGGGTAAATTGAGGAAAAATTGCCATGTGCTTTATGAAGATGGTTTTTTGAGTATTTAGAACGATTGTCTTACTCGAACGCACTTTTAAAAGACTCAGAATAGTCAGAAAATGTGAAATGAACATCATCTTGTTGCTGTTCAAACGGATTTCCCGAGGCTTTTTGTGTGTGTGTGTACTTCGGGGTTTTCGTTTGTTGAAAATTGTCATCATTGCAGATAATAAAAGAGTACCTTATTTAGGTGGTGCTAGAATTCCGTGTGGAAGTAAGAAAAAATCTAAACTTCTGGAAAAATCTCATAGATTTTCGGTGTCTTAATTTTTTATCAGCTTCTTTGACAGGACGCGTATCAGTTCCGTTACACGTCCATGAGGTGTGGCTAAATAAAGAATAAAACAGAATTTGTCCATGCCCTAAGAGAAAATGTAGTTTCTTTAATTGATTCGGCTTCGGTGGTATGTAAAGCAGCAACATGCGGGTTTCTCTTGTTAGTTGCAGACGGACTTCGTGACAGGTTGCAATGAGTAATGTCGTCGGGGTACTTTTGCCAGCAGAAAATCCATTGAATCCCAGTTCACTTTCTTCCTCGACGCGTGGATAAAAAAAAAACGAATACGACGATTGGGCAAAGTTGAGGAGACCTACTTTTTCATCGGGAGATTCTGATCATTTTTTTGTCATTGTTTTACTCTCTCGATTTTATGTCAAGTCCTTTCGATTGTCTTTTAGAATTAGCCATTGATAAAGTGAATCCAACGTCTTTCACTTAGTGAAAAATATCGGACTTGAAGCTTCTTTCTGATTTTTTCTTTGAAGATATATATATATATACCCCGACGATAATTACAAAGATGATTGTTCGGATGCCCGTTTCCCGTGCGAGCTCGTCACGCCAGTTGGCGTTTCCCATTGCTCTAAATCTACAACCCCTTGAGCCATCGAGGAAAGCATGTTTGCATAATTAAAAATTCCTCTCATTTCGGATTAGCATAATCCGCCAAGTCCACATGTTTGATAGTTCTTTCTTATGTCCCGTCGTGATACGATTCGAACGTGGGAACACGGATGATGAATGCCTTTCGGTGGAATCAAGTTTTATGAAAATTATTCATAGGCTGGGGATTTATGAACACTTCCGTTTTCCGAAATTTTCAAGTAATTCTCGAAAAAAATCCTGAAAATAGGTAGAAGAGATTCGAAGAGTCCTTAAAGAATGCCACAAGTTTTCCCTCGCATTTTTCCAATTTGAATAGACTTTAAAAGTTGAGGGTAGTGCCACTGAATTAAGAAATGCCAGCAAACAACTCCGCAGTTATGAAAACGTGCAAAAACAATTTCAAATGTCGCTGGTGTCAGGATTTTCTCATTACTTTCCATCGTCCAATCTTTCTTCAACGCAAATTTCAAGATTACCTGCGCACGAGTCCCAGAAATATTCTGGGTTTATTAGCGTATGAATCACATTGCACTAGAAAAAAAAATTCAGCAGAGAATTATAAAAGAAGAAGAAGATTGAGTATAGAGTGGTAAAGTTGAAGGAAGCGCCAGTTGTTTGAGCAATTCCCTTGATTTATTCTCATTGGCTCAATGCAGTATTTTCTGGTTGCTTCGCCGTAACGAGCGCCAATTTGACCAGAGGGTAATTAAGAATATTCCGACGGCTTCCGCAGCCGCAAGCCAAGTACTGTACTGCACCAATGAGTAATTCACTGCACGGTTATACTCGGGTCCTTCTGGAAAACTCTGGGTTGATTAGTATGTAGAAAAAAAAAAGACTCACATGCCAGGAATGAATGTTCAGTAAAGAACTGAAACAAAGATAGGCGTGCTGTTGATTGTCCCTATATGCTGGACTCGTATACAGACGATTTAGGACGAAGTGGGCCATTTCGGAACGACGTTTGAAATGAATTACGACGGGCCGCTCAAAGGCGGGTTCGTGCGGCGTGATTATTGATGGATTCGATCAATCTTCGCGGCCAAGTAATGTGTCTTCCCCGGGTGTCACTGGATAATGGGTGCACCAGCCAGCCCTGGGTTTTATTGATAATTGCACCTACACTTTTCTTTCAACTCGGGAACTTTTTTGAAGCCCGGAGCAGTAAAGAAGATTGGGGGAAAAAACTTGTTCGGGAAAGTGAATCAACCGCGGTTTCTTTTTTGAACTCGGTTTTTCTTCGAGTTTCGGATCCAAATATATTTGTGCACAGATGAAAGTAAAGTACTGGATAACACAATTTTCTTTGGAATTATTTGTTGTTAAACTTTTAAATGAGGCCACAGAAGTGGTAATTTTGCTACTTTCGATTCATGCGTATTATTTCTGAAAGAGAAACCGTTTGGGATCGACCGAAAAGGGAGGATTTTTTCAAACTGCATTATTATACACATTCTACAGTGTTTCAGGTGTGGTCAAAAAACTTTCAATTGATTTCTTTTTTCTCTTCGAACACTATAATAATCAAAATACTTTGTCTGATTTTCATGGTTTCAATAGCATCAGTGTTGACTGTCGCGCAAATTTCAATCAAACTCGGAAGGAAAAGCGAATTTGCCGTAATTTTTCTTATGTATGAGAGTTGAAAAGATTTGAATCAGGGTTGTTTTAGTTTCCCGCTGTTTTTAACGATCTGAAAGCCATCAAATTTAAATACTGTACTTTCGATTTACGTACGTTTAATGATCGTCGGACATTTTAAGAGATGTTTTGCATTTTGAAGTATTCCACGATTTTTGAGAGAGTGACAACAATGTCGAAGAGCGGAAAACATTGGTCTTTCGCCACTGGGAAAAACAATTCGTGATACGTTTTCTTATCATTAATGAATCTCCCCAATAAAAGTATTTCTGGTTAACATAATCATGCGAAGTAGGATACTGGAAATCTGTTATTTTTAGAGAAGTAAAAAGGCCCGAAGTTAATTAAAAAACAAGTTTGAAGACCTTTGAAATAAAGATATGATTTATGTTTTTGAATGCATCGATGTGACAAGAAAAAGTTTTCTAATTGAGCATTTCAGGAGAAGACGCCGCAGCTTACGTAAAAATAATAAAATTAAAATAATTTGAACAGGGGTTTCCTGGTTTCACGCATTTTTAAATGATTGCATTGTGCCATCCAGAAAAAGCATTTCTATTTTTATGCTGTACTTTTGATTATAATAATGTTTTGTAGTTATTTTGGGAAATCTATTGCAATCTGTTGCGATCTTTCTGTAAATAAAAAAATGGAATGATTTCAACGACTGCGAAGTACTGTACAGTACTGCTTTTCTGCATCAGTTCTTCGCACGCTCGCCGCATAATAACTTTTGTTTTCTTCAATCGTGCAAATCGGCAATCAAATCTACGCGATCGTTTCGGGTTTACATATACCTCCATGTGCAGTAGGCGAATGGAAAGCGATTATATTTTTAGAGAAGTAAACAAGTTCGAACTCAATTAAACAAAACCAGTTGGAGAATTCTGAAATAGAGAGAGAGAGAGTCCACTCGAAAATGCATTCCCTCACGCATCGGTCCCAAGCATTCAGATGATGTTGGAGTGGTTTTAGCCGAAAGGCGATTAATTGCCTAGTTATATTCGCTGTGCTCGGAAATGAAAGTGCTCGTCGGGTCTGAAGCAGGGTAATTCAAGTGGACAATCTCAACTTGAAACCTCCGAGAGTTGCATTGCGGAAGGAACGAAAGCGAACGAGCCGCGCAAGAAAGCAACTCGCGGAGGTGGAACAAAAAAGTAAAGCGAATCAAATATTACTCAATCACCGAACGGAAGCCAGTTGACTGTCACAAGTCCAGTTTTTTTTTGTCAGCCTGACAACGACACTCATTTAACCATTCTTGAGAAATATCATTATTTTTTAAATGCATTTTGTCCCCCTTTATGCATAAGGCGACGTTGGATCTTCGGGGAAAAAAGAGCCGTCATTATCCACGGAACTATTTGTATTTCACGACTTTTCTTCGATACATAAATCAAATCTTCGTTAATTAAGTAGGATTATTGCACGGAGTTTGCGACATATAGGCATTTTTTTTCTTCGAGCTGCTTCCTGCTGAGAAATTAATCCACACGATTTTTAGGGGTTCGGAAATGTGAAGGTACGTTTATGAGAATTAATACTTGGATGACAACTTGCAGCAAAAATATTATCCCATAAAACCTTTGGGAAGCATCAAAATCCAGATGATTAATTGACCCTTCTCGTTTCAAAATGTTGCTCAAACGCACCGACGAGTCGGTTTTTTAATTTCTGACAAAATAATTGGCTGCTTCTCTGAATATCCGTTCAATAAATTACAGGAAGTGAAAAATGTTGAGAAAAATCATCAGTTAAATGCATAAAATAAGTTTGATCTGAGATAAGGAGTAAACTACGCGAAAGATTGCCGTGCAATCATCCGCAAATACGGAAATGACAATGCATTTCTGCTCCGTATTCTGCATTCCATGAATGCAGATTGACCAAATGATACATGCAGAATCATACGCATTTTTGCGGAATTTTACAGATAAATATGCGAAGGACTGTTATTGAGTATTCCTTGGAGCCAATCGATAAGTTCTCCATGAATGGCTTGTCACCTTTTAAAAGTACTAGACACGATTTTCTTGAAATGGATTGAGTAATCTGCGCGATTCCAAATGTGGAATTTAGTTCACAAACCTTTTCAATGTTTTCAAATATTAATGCAGGGTAAAGAATCCGTCTTATTCTCTAAGAAAAAGTAATCGCCAATTGGATGTATGAATCGAATCGACCTTAAAACAACTTTTTTTGAATATGTGGATGAATAATGGGCTTGCCCTTTTTATTCAAAAATCTGCTGAAATAAACTCGTTCGAAAATTATTTCTGGTCATTATGTTTCGTTTCATTCAGTAGAAATTAGCAAAGAAATACTGCACCATACTTACATAAGAATAAAAGTCACATTTTTCGTTAAAAAACTATTCATGATTTATCTAATTTGAAGCATGTCGTGGCATTAAGACGAGAATATTAATTTTTCGCACATGCGCCGAAATGATCAGATCCAGTTCGAACCTCCAACAGAAATATGGCCATTTGTGCAGAATAAACTCCAATTAACCTGACATATTTTGAACTGTGCCAAAATTTCAACCGTTCGGGAGGAAAAAAACACGACCCCGACATGTCATCCAATGGAAATTGATGTGCTCGATTTATTTTGATGCGAATAATTCTCCAGATTGATGCTCTTCTAGATTTGCAGGAATTTTGGGTATAATAAGGGATAACAATAATGAAAATTGATTGCTTGTTGCATGCATTGATTACGACAGTGCTCGATTATGTCTGTGATACTTGAGTGCCTTGGGGATAGGGAAGCCCGCCATTATGGGAGTTCAACTCTAATTCTTTCAGGAGTCCTTCACTGGAACACCTGTAGGACAAAAAACGTATTTATTATTTTACTGGAAAATTTCCCCAATACTGTACTCACAGTTAAAATTTGAGGTCTAGTTCAAGGAAACTTTCCTTTAATGTTTTATTCCGCACACAACAGATGTTTTTCACTCGATTCATCCAACTTTCGAACAGGAAGAAGATCCAAGGGCGTGGTTCGTGCAATTCATCCTTCGTCCTTGTTTTGAAATACGACTCGTCAATGCGTGTAATTCCCTGCTGGGTTAAGGAATATACAGTACATTGCAATGTGTTTGAAAAAAAAAAAATCTTAGGTTCAAGATCCTTGGGGGAAAAGCGAAAAATTTTTTTCGTCAAAACACGTAGGACAAAAACGGTTTCAAATTTTTATTGTGTTTGATCATCGCACTTTGGAGACATTTTCAAGTTTGTTCAGCAAATGACTTCAAGTTAAATAAGGCGCATTAATTTGCGCTTATTTCGAATTTCCCATGAAAAAAGCAAGCTTCATATTATAAAATCTATATCAGTGTCTCGGTGACC